CCTGAGAGCATGTCCACCCTAACGAGACACTACTGTTAAATGCTCAGACTGTAACACATGTGCTGAAATACAAGTATACACATTTGATCATTTCAGCAATTACAGATAAATACTAATCCATCTATTTCTGGTTGGGGTTTGTTTGCAACATTTCCATCTCAAACAACCCTAAAATCTTCAGGATTAGTTACACTTAGTTAAAAATGATCAAAGCTCTAACCTGGTTCTGTAGTTTGACATTATACCAAGAGCCAAGAAGAATTTTAAAAAGTGATCTGCAGCCAGATCCCATTTCAGTTTCCCCTCTAACCCAATACTTTGAAAATAGGCCTGGAGGTCAATAGGACTCCTCATATATTTTTATCCTGCCCARTACAGACATGTCTGCTCACAAGATGCATATAAAAATGCCTTTGGAAATAAATTAATCTTTCAGCTAAAACAGTGCTCTAAGCAGATTCTTAGYGATAAAAGCCACAGATTAATTCAATGCTGTGTAACACATTAAGTTACTTTCAAGTGGTTTTATTGGTTTCACCACATAACTTGMTAATGTCCAGAACTTCCATTCAGCCTGCTTTCAGTCTCCTCTGTACCAGTTATCTTCATCATTAAGATAACATACTCTCATTAGTTTYCACCCAAACCCTGACATCTCARTTCAAGATTTTGKCTCTTYGCTAAATTACTAAACCTTTGCTCYACCAGAAATATAGCAAAGAAAACAYTAGAGAAGGTATATCACTGTGTTGTAAGAAAGTTCAGTAAGATTCACTGTAAAACCTATAATTAAAAAGGTTTTGTTCTGCAACAAAAAGTATTTCTTGCCTGGCTCCACAAGCAGTGAGAATACCTTACCCATCCTCCAGCCCAGTTCGGAAAGTTCCAGAGTACATTCGTCCATCWGCCCATTTTAGGATCCCTCTGGAAAAAAAATAATAAACCACAAAAATATATAAGATAATCAGTTCACTTTGAACTTCCCAACTAATTTCTATGAATGAGCCTACTTATTGTTACAGCAACCACCTGATTTTGGTTTCAGCCACTCCATTCCAATGCTTTTACCTGCCATGGGGTTTTCCTGAAAGCCACCTCCCATCATAAACAGCATCCTTGAATCGAGGGTCTTTGTAGAAGGTGTATTTGGCACTGCGAGAAATAGGAGGTTCCTGTCTTGGTATGTTCCCACCAGCTCCRTACAAAATCATGTCAGAAGTCCCTTTAAGGGCCTGATCCACTGCTTGGCTTATTGCCCTCAACCATTTGGTCTGAAACAGAAAATTATTCACGACAGAATTTAGCCAACAYCTGTCTTTGCACTGACTCACCTTTACAGCAAAAGCACAGTCATACCCCTGGCASTGCTCAGCAAAGTGCTGTGCACTGGAGCACTGCTACCCTCAGGCACAGTGTGCAGCCAGCCTGCCCACCCAGCTGCAGAGAGACTTCGTTCTTGGGGAATATTCAGGCAATCCTTYTCTCAGTTTGGTTTCACAGCAGGGGAGAAAGCCTCATTCATATCACTGAAGCTGTGCCAAATTTGTAGATATGCCCACCTTCTCCTGCGGTGTTGAAGAAACAAGAACAAACTGTTCTTCTGGTGTTGTAATTTTCAACCCGTTCCTACATGGGGGAGAAGTATTTTAATCTATGAAACTCCATTTCAAAAACCAAGATTTCTTATAGCATCAATATTTTCTGTCTTCTCTCCCCTACTGCAGCTAACATTCCCTTTAAGTTAAAAATAAAAAGAAGCAGCAAGAAAGAAGACTTGCTTCCCTCTTGACCACCTTATTTTTTCTGATGTTTACACAACTTTTTTTAAGACACAGAAATACACCATTTTCTGGAACAAGAAAAAAGAATGGACATGGCGGCAATCATCCTATTCCACTCGAAGTTCACCATAATTGGTTACAAAATGCTCATCATCTCTCCTAAAATATCTGACTATTTCAGCATCACAAGCAAGAATACTCACACATTACCAGTTTCTTCTGAAAGAGCTTCTACCCACAGTGTGGACAAGGGAAAGATATGGTGTGTTGAGAACTGTAGGAAAGGAGCAGGGAAACAACATCAGTTATCGATCCATTAACCCTGCCCCATTTTTTTTCTGAATGGTTTCTTTTCTTCCTTTCTTTGAAGACTAAGAAAAACTGAGCCTTACATACTCCTTCTACCACCCTGTTCCCAGAAACAGACAACAGAAACCACACCAGCCACTAGGCAACATCAATCAAATGTTAAAAAGGCACATAATTTCAGATTCATTTTTATGCTGCAAAAATGTCACTGTACAAAAAACATATAATGCTGTTTGAAGCAGAGCAAAGGCTACAAGCTGGCTTACCTGAGCATGCACCAGAGCATCGTTGAAGAGGATGAACCAGTTTACTGAGAACCTTCCTGCGTGCTGTAAGGACAACCCCCGATTGCTGCTCTCACAGATCAAACGACGCTCCGGCTTCCGCAAGGAGTCCTAAACATGGGTTAGAAACAACAGCACAGAATCTCACTTCTCACTGACTGGCACTTAAGGTTGATGCTTAAGTCTTTCTAAAGCAATCTTTCTAAAGCAATCTTTCTAAAGCAAGGAGTTCTGCAAGACCAATTGGAAAAACAAGAAGAGCAACTGGGACAGCAACACCAGTAATAGACACTGGCACTAAGAGCAAGAGATTCAAGCTGCTAATGGACTGGCAACTGTCACCATACCGTCATCTTCCCTGGAAAGGTCTTCCAGAAGCCAAGGGTGTATTCTGCTTCTTTCATTTTTCTGCTAAGATGGACAGCAAGGCTCTCATAACATGAACTAGAATCTTGCAGCTTCTGGTATTCTGGAGATGCCTGTAGGCCACAAGGTAAAACAGAGCTGAGGGCATTTCTGTACCAACATCACAAACTAAGCTGCAGTACAACTGCTCCTTTTATTAWATCACCACTAAGTGCATCACAGTTGGTCTGGGTAATAAACAGAGCAGACYAACTTATTTTCTTGGTCACGTTTGTTGGTGCACTGAAAGTTTTTAAAAATCACAAGAAGATCCCTGAATTTTACAAGGAGGATGATTAATACACAATTACCTTCTTGCAACTCAACAAGCTATACCAGAAACAGTGCTCATAACTGCAGGAACAATATTTGAAATTATTATATTGGGTTAAACATACAAGCAGTTGCTGTTTCTATCTACTAATCTTTTATTTCAAAACAAAGCAATTATATACATCTAAATGGGTAGTAAAAGTCTACCTAACATATATGTAGTGTTTTCAGTAGACTATTACAGCCATGGGTAGCTACAGCAATGATGCCAGATAAAACAGAAAAGTAACAGGCAAACATCAAACAATATATTTGCTATTAAGCATTCAGGCACACAAACAAGCTCCAGCCAGGTAACAAGTTTCTACCTGTCATGTGATCTGTGCAGGTGTGAGGTAAGATTGTTTAAATAAATCTACAAGATCTCCCCTGCAGCAAATGCAAGTCTGAGGTAGCTCCTCTGAAGAATAAACTGTTTCTAATTATCTGGCATTTGCATCACAGTTACTTCCACGCTTTAAGTCTTATGTGTGTATTTATTGAAATATAGATAAAAAAGCCATCCTACCACTTCAAAACACGTGGCAAGCTTTAGCAAAGTTCTGGCATAATTATGAAGTCGTCCAAATGGCATGAAAAACAGAGCATTCAAAAYTTCCACTAGTTGGAGGTTCTCCTCACTCTTCTCAGACAGTTTCTGTAACAGCTCCTGGTTTCTACTCAAGAAGTCTCTAAATGATTGGACCATTGCAAAACAGAGGGAGGAGAGAAGAAAAAAGACAGCAAGACATCAGTGATGTAAATGAGAMCACATTGCTCCTTTTTGGATGATCATAAACCAATAAAAATTATAAGGACAAATGCATGCTGCTTATTCATCTATTCACAATTTATTTGAGGAAGTAAAGACACCTAGCTAAAACTGCAATGCAGGACTTGTTTTTTACCTCTAATTTTATATGCCCAGTCATCAAACTGGTTGAAGAAAGCTGACTATATTGACCACTYGGAGTGTAACCAATTGACTCTTTCCTTTTTATCACTTGATTAGTGAAGAACAAATAGGWGCAAAGACTTCCCCACTGCTTTTAGAGTAGTAAGTTTCTAACTGTTGATTCATACAAGGCCTGGAAGAATCTTAACTTTGCTCTAATGCACTTTCCTAAATATGTTGAAATAATTTCTTCCCCCCGCTGTTGTTGAAGGCAAATTCAACCGACCAGTTCTTCCCCTAACTACAAAAATTACATCCTACCTCAAAGAAAGGCAGAAAATCTGTTCAACCCTCAGTTTGATTTCCAAGAGGGAGAACTAATCTAGACCAGAGAAGAAGAGGGAAATGATTGTGAAGACAGTACATTAGCACACAGGGATTGCTTYATTAAAAGGAAAGCAAGCCTATTTTTCCCTGTCCTTCGTGGTATCTGTTGTGCTCACTTTTGCTGCTACATACCACAGGTGCACTGAAACACATRCAGCTGGGAAGCATTTAAACCACAAGCTGTGAGAATCAGGTGAGCAAAAGAGATCAGAGTTCACAGCAGGCTCCCTAAGATTGCTACATGATTAGTGAGATGCCATCTCACACATCAAAATAATGTACCTTGTCCACATTTGCTAATGATACTTTAAAAATCTATTATTTTTAAAGAACAAGCCTTAGGAATAAAGTCTTCTTWAGAGAGAAGACTTTATTTCTTAATTTTAAATTTATGCCCCTGGACAGCTTGCTATTTTTAAGTGTTTTGATACCCTCACATGGAGGTTTCTCTGTTGAAAAGCATCAGACACTAACAGACAACACTCAGTACAGCTTGTCCACTCTTTTTAGAGAACATGCTCAAAAACCTCCTAACTATGGAGACTTTCATTGAAGCTGGCACTTTTTTTCAAGTCAGGACTACATTTAAAGCATTCATGCTGCAGAACTTACATAAAAGATAGGCTGACACTAYCAACCATTTACTTAAGACAGTATATCCCTCAGGGAAGGAGTGGGGGGAAATTCATCATTATCAGCAAAGATATTCTTAACTTCCCTTTGAAAGGAGCGGGACAAAACTTGCAAGACATCACCTCCCTGAAGGTTTTTCACCTAATGAGACCCTGGTTGCAGTAGGAGAAGCTGTGACATCCAACAGTGACAACTGATGTGAGGAAGTCAGCATGAGTGAGTTCAGAATGAATTATAAACACTTATACTCAAATTAAGATTTCCTCTGTGTCAACCTAAAAATTCCTGACCAAGGAAAAAAGATTCTCTCTGCAGGGGGATTCTTTATTTAGACTTTGGCACTGGTCCTGAAGTGCAGAATATTCTTAGTCCTAGGTACCTGCATTTCCTAGAACTTCCGTTAACATTTATGGAGCACTTTGAATGCAGTGTAAATGATGGTAACAGAATTACTCCCAAATTACAGAATTTGGGAAAGAAAGGTATCAGTTCCACAGACAAATTAAAAATTACCCTCAGGGCAATACAAGAACTTTTTCAAAGCACTAGGGTGAAAGATCCAGTGTCATTACTTTATTCCCTAGACAAAATTACTATTGAAATGAGAAAAAAACTTAATGATCTAGAAACCTCAAATGTACTTAAATATAACTCCTTAATATATAACTTAAATATAACTCCTTCCTCACATTTACAAGTATCTGTGCATGAAATAGAGTGAAAAAGCCTTGAGAGGCACAGACGATGCACATGCAGAAATGTTATTTTTGTATCATTTTAAAACATGTCCATAAACATAAAGAATTTAAATGAAAGTGAATTTACATTATTTACTCTAGCTAATCTTCTTCTGTATTTTCTTGACAATGTTTGAAAGAACAAACACTAATACTGAATAATGATGAACATTTAACTAAGCTTTCCAAAAAAAATCTTCATCTGAACTCTTTATGTTTCTTTGAAGGAACTTCCAATAATGCTTTCTTCCTCTTTTCTCCACCTTCAAGATGAAGTAACTGAACTCAGCAGCATTTTAACCTAAATTTTTATCACAGTTGAAAAGAGGCAACTGTCTCTTTGTCTGAAAGAAAAGCAGCTAGTGTACTCAAGTATGCTGAGGCCGAGTCTCTGAAGTAATGGTCATTACTACACACATACACATTCCATTCTTTACAGTTCTTTGCTAATTGACAAAAATGTCCAAAAAAWTCTAAAGGTTTGCTTACATTGCTGGCTTTGCAAGGAGCATAAATCCTCCCATTACGAGGAAGTTTGTTACTGAAGTACAATACCTAATATAGGGAAGAAAAAGATCTTCAGTTACAAAATCAAAACATCCCTGAAAGTAGCAACTGTTGTAATGTCCAACAGTTTAAAATTATATCTGTAGTATCTTTTACTATACAAGTTATACAGTCCTTGAGAAACACTCAGTATTACTGAACACTTGGCATTCATTTCCACACACAGCACTAAACATGCATTACTAGTCCATATTTTTGCTGCCATTAGCAGAGGGCTTACTTTAATTTTGTTTCTCTCAAATTTATATGGCATAGACCACCTGCTTCACCCATTTAGTACTGCTAACTTCTAATTATAGTCAAAGTAGAAAATACAAAATAGGAATTTTCTCTTTTCCTACTATTCAACATTCTACCTATGACTTCTCCTCATCACCATAAAAACAAAAAAAATGGAAACACCTTTCTATAAGGGAAGAGGTCTCTGCTTAGCCCATTTAACAGATTATACTTATATTGCCTGACTGATCCTTGAAAGATGCTCACAGCATYATGCTGAAGTTCTGATGCCATACACATAAAAACATGTAAGCAACAGGGAGCAAAGAGAAAGAGAAAACAAGCAGTAATRAGAATAGAGATCAGGTATTTCAGTCTTTGACAAAGAAGAAATTAAAACCTTCTATTCTGATGGATGAGACYCAATTCTGAAAATCCAGGTTACAAGAAAAATTCAGATTAAAGACTAAAAACTGAGCAATTGCATATTTACAATTACAAACAATCTATATGATAAACAGAGATGAACGTTTCTTTTATGGTGATACAGCGCAAGTTCATCACTGACCCAGCAAAAATGTTACCTTGTGCTTGTGTTCAAAAACAGTGTAACTAGCTGTCCATTCAAAATGCTACTGCTTAACAAGTGAAGTTGATAATCTTGAAATTTCATTTCCATAGATATCTTCAGATATCCRGTAACCAAGGCTACATTCAGATATGATAYTTTTAGCCWCTCTGTTAAGCCATTATTTTTCCCMAAAACATGTAGGTAYTAARTATGATGAAACTTCTGCTACATTTAAATARAATTGTCCAGGAACTACAAGTTACTGAGGGAAAGGACAGGAAACAGGGTGATGGCATAGACCTTCTCTCCCAAAAGTATTCAGCCCATAAAAACAATAAAAAATCCAGACTTAATTCTGAGCACTAAAGCAGCTCCAGCTTTTGGGTGACAGGCACAATGCCAGCTATTTAGCAGGTATGAGGACAGAAGAACTTTCTTCTGGGAAACAATTTTTAGTTAATGACTACTGAAAAAGCATTTTGCAACCACTATAAACCCCCTAAGGTTATACCAAGCCTAGCCATGGTAATTCTATTATATTATACTACAAGATCTTCAATAAGTAACTAATATTTAGGCTTACAGGCAGCAGCCAAAGAGTCTGTAGCCAGAGTTTTACATAAGGGAAGCTGATGCTGTCCATGTGCTCCACTGATGAAGACTCAGAAATACATCTCACTACAAAATGAATCCATTCGTATAAAACTCTCCATGCATTTCTAAATCACAACAATACAAGTTATGTAGCTTTCCTTATCACCTACTTTCCCTTAACTCAGGGCTTGTTGCAGTCAGTAGATTAAGCCTGCAGAGACTCAAGATGAGAGGGAATTGGATACTTGCTCAGTGTAACTATCCAAAAAGAGACTGGAATGCTTCAGGATGGCCAAGCTCCTGGCTTCTTTCACTCCATGAAGAAAGCTACTTAAAGAAGCTCCATGTTGACCAATGAGATAGCACAGCTTGCTGAACCTGCTTGCCATTTCCTGCAACAACTGGATTGTATTTGCATTGCCCAAATTATCTGCAACAGACCAGAAAGCAATTTAGCTTACCTTATAAAAGAGCAGCACCCATTAACAGAGAGAATCACAACTTGGTGCTGTTTAGATGTTTTATCAGCACTTTCACCTCTCAGCTACATTTTCCACAGTCAGAAATTCAACAGTTTTAGACTAAATAGAGCTCAAATAATAAGGATATTTCAGGTGAAACAATCAGCAAAGTGAAAATACTAACAGAATATAAACTGTCAAAATGCAAATGTCTTGCACCTCTTCATCCAAACAGGGGCAAAAGAAAGACCATATCTTTATCCTGAAAATATATTATTACTTTTAAATTTTGCCTGATGGAATTCGTTGTGGAACACAGAGGAAACAATATCAAAGAAAACWTTAAAAGAAGGTCTTACCTAAACCTAAAAGAGGTCTAAGAACCTGAGATTTGATCTCRCTCAGTTTGACATAAAACCTTCTCTCAGTAGCAGCCAACTCATGCAAACTGGCAATATATCCCATTACGTTTTTGTCTACTAAGGCCAGACAGTTGTCACCACCAGCTATCACATTGCTTATGTACCCTATCTGAAAGARTAGAAAAGAGAAAARWAAAAAACAGYAGTTTTAATATTTTTMTTTTTACACTCAAATTTAAAAATAGAGCAACAGAAATAAGCATATTTTTAGGAGCACTAAGTGATAATAAGTATTAATTACCTTCAGTGACAAACAACCCATTCAATACTAGCTTCATACAAGAATGACAAAGGTTGAAGATACATTTATAGCCACTGCTGTTCATTTTCCTGACTCTGAAGTACCCTAAAGACAATACATAGASCACCTTTTAAGGTGGCTCATACAACCATTCCATGTTTAAGAGACTGACCTTAAGTTCAGTCACGTTCAGAACTGCGACATGCTTATATCAACAATTACTTACTAAATAATCAGTTATTTAAAAGTTATTAAACAGCATAATTATGTCAGCTGTTTCTTCTATTAAAAACGAAGAGAGAAGAACAAGGCTTTATTAGAATTATGACTGTTCTCTGAACAGTCCAATTTACTGACACTGYACTATTACTAACAGTAGGCATTTGCTTTCCACAGTAATTCAAAGCAAAATTCTTCTCTAAGGTCAGCACAAATGCCACTGATGCATTGAGGTTCCTCAATAATTTGGGTTCACATGCAATGCCACAGATTAATTCAGTTTGAGCTCTACTTTTATTTCCTTGGTTGCTAAATAGAGGATTCCTTTGAARCACTGAGCCAAAGTTGCTCAACAAGTAACCCACAGGCCAATTCTGATATACAACAGCCTACTGGTCACTCTTAGAAGGGAGGGAAAGGCTAGCAACAATCTTACAGAAGGAATACAGGTGTATGTGTCTGCCTGCACACAGACCCAGTGTCTAAACCTCTGTCCCTCCYCAAAACACTTCCCAAACTGCTATTCTGCTCACTTTAGGGATGCTCAGAGGAGCTGAGGCAGAGACACTGTCTACCCTCACTATTTCCTTTTTGTCACCTTAAACTAATGCTGGTCTGAAACCATACACAAACAACTTGGAAGAGGACGTGCAGTCAGAGTACACACCACTACCTCATGCCAACCTTAAGGCACAAATGAGATTCAGATCCATAAAAAAAAAAAATGGGTAGGGGCACCTCCTGTCTCCCATTAATATCAAATGCACACTTTTGCTCAGATTCCCCGTTGCCTTTACACTGACGTGAAAGGGAAGGCAGGGAAGGAAATGGTGCAGACTCACAGGACCTTCTGCCCAGTCACAAACAAGAGGCATAATATTGGAATGGAGTAAAAGAACAGAGCAGCCAGTGGCCTCAGTCAATTGAGAGACAACAGGAAAGTGAAGACAACAGCAGTGAAGAATGAATACAAAGACTGGTGAAATGGAGCACAGTGTAAGAGTACAGCAGCCATGGAAAAGAAATGGATTAAACATACTGGAAACACTCCTTGTCCCTSAAACAGAGGAGAAGGCCAAGAAACAGGCAGGGGAGAGAAAAATACTAATTGGGCTTCCTCTCTGCCCTCCATCCACTGTGSTCCTCATTTGACTATTAGGAACCAGTTAGGTGGCTTGACACCCTCAAAGCTCATTGAGCCACCAGCACTGTGCTATTTSCAAAGAGCACCAGTATGACCTCTACTGACTTAAAGGAAATAACACTCACCTTACTACATGCTAGTAATAAAACTGGACTCTTATTACAGCTATTTTCATTCAAATTGTTTTCTGTTGATGTCTCCTGGCCACTGTAATATAATCCAGGTTGGAAGTCTTTCTCATCTGCTAAGAAGAGGGAATAATCCAGTCCTGCTGCTGTGGTCCAAACACCATCACCACAAACCTAAAATTCAGGAGGAAGACATTAGAAACCATCACCCAAAGATGGAAGGAAAGAAAAGTACTTAACTCTTCCAGTCACACATGTACATAATACCTGCTGAGATAACCTATTCCAATAACTGGTGATTTTTCAACTTTAGTGTCTCAAAACAAATAAACTCCTTGCACTTATATTAAAAACTCTTTCTTTCAGCTTTCTTTCTAATGGATGATTTTTTTGCCTTTCAATGATACCAGTTTTATTTTTTAAATGGGCATCAAGTGAGCTTGATTGAAGTTGGAACACTYCCTCCATCCTACATTTAACTGGGARATCTATACAAATTTTGGAGACAAGTTAATCTGCTAAACATTCATTTGCATAAGCCCTAAGCAGGAAAATTTTGCAGCCAGTTTTTCATTAAGATGAGCACCAAAAAACATGGCAAAGGCTGTGGTCTAACCCAAAAATTGTTATTTTGCTATTCACTCAATGTGATGAGAAGTTTCAAAACAAACAGAAAACCCACTGCAAAAACATTGCAAWGCTCTGGAAATGTGGAAACAAGCAACAAATATGGTCAATCTTTAGCCAAGCTAAAAATGCTAGAAGCAATTGTTTGGAATAAAAACAGTGTTCCAAAGTATTCAGAAGTTTCAGCTCTGCAAAATCAATATTGGAGAAACCAATACACGGTAAAAGTGCAATCTGATAAGAAGATACACAATCAGTCACATTTCTCAGTTTTAGAACTACACTGTGGACAAAAACCAGCAGAAGTCTGTGTAAAGGATTTMTTGGGTAGATTTTCATAAGCTCATCTAAAGATCATTTCACAGCATAAGCCAAAGAAAATCAAGGRCTCTCTTACTAAATAGCACACAAATCTGTGAACAGGTCATTCTCAGAAATTACTCTGCACTCACTTGTACAAGAAGAGACCCTCAACTGAAAGAAAAAAAAAAAACCAACAAAAAAAACTATAGGAAACAAAAGTACCTTTGCAAGACGAGGGACGGTTGTTGGGGAGTTCAAGTGACCAAGCTGGCCAGAAGTATTACTGCCCCATGAATACACCTGCAAGAAGAGTGCTAAACATCAGAAAGTAAATCCATATACATGAAGACATACTGAACTGTGACAGTACAACACATCAAGTGTGCAAACACACACAAGTCAAGGATATAGGATTTGTGCACCAAGAAGCAATTCCTTATAATTTTCACTGTCTTCCTATGCTCTCAGATTGTCTTCTCACATTCAGAAATGGAATGCATTAAATCAAGTCACAGCAATCTTTAAACATAATGTTGTTGGTACATGCAGAACTTGGGCAGAAATAGAATTTAGACTGCACACTACTACCATGCTGCTTCCCACAAATGGGAACAAAAGTTTAGAAGCAAAAGAAACAAAAACTARAAAAGACTAAACATGACAATTATGCCATAACTAAACAATAAATGGCAACAATCATTTGTACCTGGGATTTGGCAGTGAGTGCTAAGGAATGATGGCCACCAGCAGAAAGGTGAATCACTTCCCTACCATCAAGGCTTTTCACACACAATGGCTGAAGCCTGTCAATCCCCAGAAGCCATAAGCCAAGGGAAGAGGGGCAGAAGAGGGGGAAAAGAAAAAATATTATCAGAGGCACTCTTAATGGAAGAAACACTTGAAGTTTTATTTTATTCCCCAAAACAAATTAGAAAAAAACGAAGATATATGGAGTCTTCTGACAACAAACCAACTTAGTCAAAATGGTCAGGAAGGGCAAAAGTTAATGACAGACCTCATTCCAATTTGGACAAAGTCAAAACATCACCAAAACTCTAACTGATTACAAGGAGAGAAGTCATAATTGATTGATGCTCAGTAGCAATACAGCAYAAAACATGTTACTTGGAGAAACTTAGGTCACAACATTTAAAAGAACAAGAACACAATGCATGGCAGACGTTTAAATTTGAGAATTTGAGGCAGTTCAATACTCAAAATTTTCTAGCAATCTAGTGAATAAAAAAARCCTTTATCAAAGAAATCCCACCTTGGCAGAACATCACCATGTCCCAGCTGTCCTTCCTTCCCTTTCCCCCAGCTCCACACTTCTGTTCTTAGAGAGGGTAAAAGAGCATCAGCTTCACCACTGTAGGTTGGAGTCAGWGCCACAGTCCTCATTTTTGCCCTTCCTACCTTCCGTAAGAGCCTTGGGGAAACTGAACAAAGGCCAAGATTAGAAAACTTGCTAATCATTTTGGTAATTGCATCACTCAGATTGTGTGATACACAGTAACARCACTACTTAATAGTAAGTGATCAAAACCTTCTCAAACTCTTGACTCAAGCTTGAGAACAAAGGCTAACACGTAAGACAAGAGGTTATGGATACACAGAAGTAACAACGTTGCTAAATCTAAATCGCTATCGAGTGGTTTTTACCAGCAGCTAAAGGATAACAGACATATGAGAACTATGCAGCTATAATGAAGCAAATGAACCAAAACAAACTATACATTAAAGAAAGTGTTTTGAAAGAAAATATATCCTTGCTGTGAACAGAAGATTTCAATACTTCCTAAAAACTCCCCTCAAATACAAAATCAATATAGAACTAGGCCATATACACATTCAGAGCAATTAACAACACTAARATCTATGAGGGAAGAAGGTCATTAACTTTGAAGTTCAGCAGTGGGAACTGGAATACTTACATCTCCCCGAGCTCAGTGCAGTGGGGATTACAGGCCACACAGATTTTTATCTGYTACAGAACTAACATGAAAGATACTTTAGCATCATTTGGCAATATGACTCCTCCAACATGCTCACTTTACCTTAATTTAACACAAAAGACTATTTGTAAGCCCACTCTGCTTTTGGTTTTCTTAATGCAGTAACTGCTAGCCTTCACTCTCTGCACTACTTTCAAATCCTAARATACAGTTTAGAATTCAYAAACACTTTTGCTAGATCATTAGAYTTGTGTTTAATAAATGTTTGGGGTTTTTTCACTTAGAMACCTCCACATTTTTATACATTTTCCAGTGTTTTTTCCCCAACATGTTTTCTTACCTTGTGACAACAAGCCAGGCAGGGAAAGCCTTCGACTCCCACCTTCAGACTCCTCTTCTCTAATATCTACTAAACTGGAACTCTTTTTCCCCTGCATGGACTCCAGCCTGACCTGCTCTTCTCGACTGTCTTTCAGCGCTTCGGGCCCTGGGGATCTGCTGCCCGACTGAGCTCCCGGCTCAGTTGAAGATGTGCCATAAAAGTTCATGACTTTCTTCAGGGACAAGGCTCCAGCCTCGTATGTAGCAGCGACTCTCACCCCAACTGCTGAGGCACAGGAGGCCACCAGGCTGTTCAGYGTGGATGTGCTGCTACCTGGAGGGCCAGGGATACAAGCACCGAGCTGTTCCTCTTGAGATGGCTAAAACCAAAGGAAAATTGGAAACTATTAGAGCAGACAAGCACTGAACAGGAGGATGACAATATGCATTCACTGTTCAAACCATGGGGTGTACTGAGCACCACATTATGTTTAGTGTAAATTATATATATATTTTAACTGTATATAATATAAATTATATATGGGTTTATGCTTAGGTGTACATCTATTGCTCTGAATCACTTTTTTAAAGGTAGGACCAAGCATAATTTCTAAATGGACTGGGCTTTGTCTGTCGCACTTGTCTTGTTGCTCATCTACAAGAGGCTGTAGGTCTGGCATTTTTTAATTAAAAAAAAAAATATTTGCAAACAAATATAAAAAGGGACATAATTTTAAGCTTATTACCAACTTCTTTGAGCCCAAGGAAAGTGCATCAGTGAACATACTCTATTCACAGAGAGACAAGTTCTCCCCTCATTATGATAAAAGGAAAACAGCAATTCACGGATTCATTCCACAAGGCCTATCTTAAAACCAGTCTGGGCTGTCCCCTTATAACATTGTTGTATCCATATAAATCTTAGTTAATAATCATCAAGTCATACTAGGAACTAACTGACTGAAGGTAATTATTAGTCCCAGCACACCATTACCTACAATATCAATCAGCTGACTCACCAAATAAAAAAATAATGCACAAAATTATCTCTGACAAATAGTTTGAATACTAACACAAAGACAACAAAGTCCCATTTTCCCATCTAATATACTGTGGAAAACAGTTTATTATTACAAATATTACACCTCATTTTTTTCTGTCAAAATAAAAGCAATCTTTGACCTCTTTAAAGCTTAGGCTAAAGGATTGGRATTGGTTCTATTTACTTAATTCCTATTTCTAAAAGAAATACCTAGCAATACAGGAAAGAGAACTTGATTTGTGTAGGAAAGCAAAGAGAAATGAAGGATTTTACTAATGCTGAAATATTACATTAGACATAATCTCTGCTCTTCACATGTATGCTCAGTTGTGTAAGATTGACTGAATCAATTCCAGTCTTGATTCCTGAAACTGTGCAAGGAAAACAGTGGTCTGGAAATATTCCAGGAACAAGGAGTTGAGAAAGGGAGCATGAAACTATGTGTCTCAGCTATTTCCCAATGGTGGAGTTCTTGCAAAAGTCTGAGGTGCCCAATCTGCTAAAATGCATTTGTATTAGCAAAACCAAAAGAAAGAACAAATGYATTTACACAATGTTAATTTCTCCAAAGTAAGTTTTCCTGAGAGTAAGAAAGCATAACTTGCTGAACTACCAAATTACTGAACAGGTTTCAAAACTTGTTGCAATCAGAGGTGAGAATAAAAATCAACCATTTTTTAGGTACTGTGAAACTTATTTCCCAGAATCACTGTGGAGAATGTCTTACTGCAACTATTACAAAAATAAATGAATGTCTGCACAACACTTTAAATGACAAAAGGAATGTTCATAATTCCACTGTCAATTTTGAAAATTATGTCACAGAGTGGCAGGTTTCCTCACAGGACAGAAGTTTGGTAAGGATTGCCAGATTCTGCTGCAAGATTCTGGATTAGTTTGGGTTCTATCTTTTTCCCTTTGCCCCTAATTACAGTTTTTTTTCCTCTCGAAAAAAACAGAAAAAGTATTTTGCTAGGGAGCAAAAACCAGCTCCTGAACCTTCATGTCAAGTATTTTCAGATGCTTACTAAGAAATGAGACTGTTCTGCTATAGCAWCAAAACATCCTTTCTGAATAATTTTCCACACCACAGAGTAGGACTTACCTCTCCCTTCCCTTTTCATGAGTTTATGCCACTCCTACATTATTAACATTAGAAACCTTTTGGTCAACCCTTTTAGCAATTYGCAATCCAGAATTTTTAACTGATTGAGAAATAAGACAGATTGGTGAGGGATTTGTTCCAGGTACAGAAATTAAAGTTTCACCTCAAAGGCAAATCAGACGAGTACCAGCTTACTGCCTCACACAAATGGAAACCCATGCATGAGGAAAGAAAGAATGGAAATTGGCTTAAATGGTTCTGGTACTGCAGACCATGAAGAGGAGAGACTACAGCACTATCAAGGCTGTCCCCAATGAAGACTCACAACAGAACAATGATGGAGGACAAAAAAAACTCCTCCACTTAGAAACTGAGAACCATCACAGCAAAAAAACCACTGGAAAACTACTGAAACACCATAGCTACATTAAACTAAGCTTTTCCTTTGTAAAAAGAGTAATGTTATCACATATCCAAGAGGAGTTACAGCAAATTATGAACTAATGATTAGRTACCAACCTGTTCAGGTTCTGTACAGGTGTTTTTATTCAGGCTCTCATTTAATGAGTGATCTGACAAACCGATTAAGTACTCTTTCACTTCTTTTTTGTTAGAGAACGGAGTATTTGCTGAACTAGAAATTCCACTATCTTCCCGTCCACTGTTGCTGGAAAGGCCACTTGGTCCATCAGACTCTAAACCACCAAACCTATGTTGCTCCACAAGAGGTTTCTGACAATCTTCACTTTGGCCAGCTGTTGCACTTTTTCCTGTGGGGATATCCGATGAGGGACAGAAAACATTGTCTTCTGGTTGGTTATCAGACAGTGCTACACCCAGTGGGCAGCAGTGACTATCTGAAATGATTACATGATCTTCCTTGTCCGTCATGGTAATGAGAGGCTGACTGCAGTGATTGCATCTCTCTGGGATAGGCTTCATTTCCTGCACAGGGAGACATTGTACCAGAGCCAGGCTGTGGTAGGCTCCACAAGCAATCTGGAGCACAACRCGTCCTGCCAGGTGCTCTACCTTCTGCGGTTTTGTCACTGGGAAAGTTGTTGTTATGAGACCAAGCTGGCAGCCGCTCCCCCAGGCCCATATCTCTCTGCTCAGCGATAGTGCCAGYGTGTGYTCCTCTCCACATGCCAGYTGCAAAATCCTTACTGATAAVAGAGGGCTGGTTTCAGAATCACAGATACTGACAAGCTGGGGCTCTGGCACACAGGGCTGATTAGCGACTGCGCACTGGCCAGCAGAATTGTCCCCCCACATGTACACCACACCACTCTCTGTCACGGCTCCATTATGGAAGCTGCCGGCTGCCACTGTAATAATGCGATGACCAAGCAATGTATTTTCTAAGATAGGACTGTTAACACATGACTCCTCAGGTCCCAGTTTCCAGGGCAGTTTTCCAAAACTGTAGACCTCTCCACCTGGGAAGCAGGGAAAAAGGAAAAACAAATTCTAGTGTGAGCATAAACCCAACTGTTAAACCAATACAAAAGTTTGAAGACTGCTTCAGACAAACTGCTATCAATTCCTAGCTTACTGCAGGCTCAGCAAAACTATGGCTATTGATAAAAGAAGGCTTCTGGTTGTTGCTGTTTTTGCTGGTCACATTAATGTTACCCTGTGCATGCATGCACTGTTTAAGTAATGTTTTTTCTGCTAAACTATTATACTCAAGTCAAGGAAGTTAAGTGTATTTGTTGGTCCTTTCTAATTTAAAAGCATACTAAGGACATACAAATGTGTATGAAGAGCACAAARTATAGGGCTCTCTTTCCAAACACAGATCTAGTATCACTTCTAAAAGAATAAAACTTGCCAATAACTGAAGATTGTTATTGCCTCAGATCGTTACAATCAAGGTATTCATTACCTTCAGTCAGAAGTAACCCATGATGGATTCCAAGGGCTGCCTGTAACACTGTCTTTCCACTGAGGCCCGGAAGCCTTTCTGGAGTTACAGAGCAGGAACCAGCCTTCCAAACATAGACCAGGCCTCTCTCTTTGGCTCCTTCTGCCTCTTCTGAGCTACAAAGAGTGGAGGAAATTGGAACACAATCAGCATGAAGTTCTCTGYGGTTCAGTAATGCCTGTTTAGGAAAGGCTTACTTAGTTTTAATTTCAAGACAATGTATTTAAATTAACAAAAAGTAAATTAAAGGGTATTTAAATGAAAAAAAATGCATCTTCTGTTTGAAACCATTAGCTTTTCTCTCATTTGTACTTTAGCGTCTACAAATTGCTGCCATTAATATTGTGTTTAAAACATTACATCTGTAAGAGCTCATCCTTTATACACTTTCATTTCTACCTTTAGGGATAAAAATGAGGTTTTGTTTGTGGTTTTTTYCTTTTTTAAATTCTTAATGGGTTTCTCATATTCAAATGAGCCAGTCATTCAAATCAAATGAACTATAAAAAAAAATAATCCTGAAATACTATCTAAGTATAAGGGCTTGCAGAAGTCACTGGAATTATCMAAAACTGGTTTAACACTTTGACACACTGTGGTTTGAATACTCAGTCAGCAAATTCTCCAAGTCAGCACAAACAAATTCCTTGGAATTTTAACAAGCCCACAGTTYTAACAATTTGTAGAATCCCTTGATTTAAATACAAAAATTCCTTTAAAGCAYCAATATAGACTGATGGCATTTAAAGTTAAATTAAGAGCCATGTTTAACTTTCCTTAAAACCTTATATAGACTAGATTTTTATTTAGTCAGAAGAAAGTGGGTTTAGCTCTTTATTTGACAACAGTCAAGTCACTCACTCCTTGCATAAATCAGTTCTTGTAGCTTGGCATGAACTTGTGAAATTAAATACATTAAGACAGCAAGAAAAGCTTTAATGGAGTGACAGTCTTTGTCTGGAAGAAAAGGCACAAGAGATAAAATGTACTCCAAACCTGTACTGAACCAAGAAAAAGCTATTCTGATACACCACACTGGGGGAAAACCAATGCAAGTAGCCCTATTCCTGCAGACTATGGATTTGTTAAACTACATATTTTGTTAACAGTGGTGCACAGGATGAACTTCATCTTTATATAATGTGCCTCTGAAATATTCAAGTTGAGAATAACTAAGAAATGAAATTATCTCTCTTAGCTCCTTTGCCCATTCCAAATATCTTTATTTTTCCACAAAACAGAAAAAAAAATTCAAGAGGTGACAGTCTAGAACTCTTCTAAAATTCAAATAAATCATTCATTCCAAAAAGCAAATACAGAATTAAAATGCAGAGTCCATTATGTATTTCAAATACACAGGACTTGTGTTTAGAGTAGAAGTAAATTAAAAAAGTAAGACATAGGCAAGGAAATAAAAAAGGCTTAAGAATTCAATACCAATATAAGGATATTACACCTAAGATAAAAACACAGATTTTACACAGATGTTCCAAAGAACACAAAATTAGAATAATGTTTTCATCAACATACTGTGCATTAAATTCAGYCTGAAGCTTCATATTTGCACTTTTATCCATTTAATAAGTCTTCAGAAAATAGTGTAGGACAAATCTGGACATTCACATAACAGGATTTATTAGGAAAACATCGGAGCTCTATCAGGCATCTCAGAGCAAGAAGGACTGAAAGAACAGTCTACAAGGCTACTGATCTAGAATCAAAATTTACAGGTGCAGGTACCAGACAGGATTTACTGTTCACTTGAGAATGTTACTTTCAAGTCTGTAGTTTATGGCTATGGCTCCACAAGTTACAACAATCAACATCAAAATGAAGTTGCTGTTATAGTGACTTCAGTGTTCCAGACACAACTGAAGCTAAGTTAATTATCTTCCTTCAGTGTAAGTTTCAGTACAAGTTACATGAAGAGCATGCTGATATCAATTTTTCAGGATGATCACGAGCTGGCCTATTTCAGGGAGTCTGTGGTTTCACCTGGCTGCTCATTCTCACCTTCTTTCCTGTGAGTCCATCTGTCAGTGGCAGCACTCCATCACCACCAAATTGTTCCTCTTTCAAAAGGAACAATATAATTTTCACAAACTGAAAAACATAAAACCCAGCTATTTAATTGCAAATAATATTAAACAACAATGCCCCCTCCAAAACCCCAAATCTTTAGCCATGCATTAAATAAATAAGCATTTCCACACCACTAGGATGGTTCAAGTATTTATATTTAGTTCACTCACACTGAGTTGGCAGACAGAAGCTAAACAGCCAGACTTGTCCTACCTACTCATCTCACARTGGGTCTATTGTAAGGGCAGAATGAACAAAACCTCGTTCAACTGCAGAAATTTACATCAAGCTCTCTATATAATTCTCATTATACCTCTYAAGAAACACCAAATTGATTCATTTTCAGTCATAAGACAGAATTCAGTACTCAGCTAAATTTGTAGTGAACAGTTTTTGCATGAGCAGAAAAGGATCAGGAGCTGAATTCATAACTGCATTCCAAAGCACACAAGACCATTAGAAGGTGCAGTTCTGCCTGGGCAGAAATACAGAAAGCCAAGCAAGAGTTCAAAACATTTCCTCATGATGCAAGCTGGTAGTAGAGCGCCTATAGAGACATAAGACAACCATGGAACAAAAGGCAAGGAACAAAAAGTGACTGCTCTAGCTAAAATTTCATCCATTCAGATTTTGAATTTTGCAAGTTCACTCTCCTCATGAAGACACCTTTGTATTACTTGTCTTGAAATAAAACAAAGCTACAGCTAATGTTTGTTTCTTATGATACGTTTGGCTCTTTTTTTTTAAGCATTAAAAGAATTGTGATGTCCCTGGATCTACTGCCTTACTACATGAAGTATTAAAAATTTTAGTTACATTAACACGTGTATAATCATATTTCCTCAAGCCAAGTTTCATATAGAAATGCTTTAGAGTTTTTGCTTTATTATAGTTGCTGTCTGATATCCACTGTAACAAAGTAAAAAAACAAACTAGTTAGTATAAGTCTTAAGACCCAGAAAAAGTAGTCGGAAGCTTTTGCATGCAGAAAACAGAAAAAATTACTGCCAAGCCTGAATACAAGAGACCTGTAACTCTCATACAGAAGTTTCAATGCACACTTGGAAACAGTAATCATCAAGTCAATAAATAATTAAAATAAATAACTAAACCTCCAACACTTTCACTGGAGTGCTCTGAATAATGAATTACCAAAGAGACCTTTACAGATAGAAACAACAACACGGCACATCAAATACTTCCAGTTGTTCACATAAAGGAACTAAAACAATCACTAAAAAGAGCGATTTGGGCTACAGAGCTGGCAARGAACAGACCTCAAAAAGATAAAGATTTGATAACATAGTACTGTGGTAAGTCATATGCACCCTGCTCTAATAAAAAATAAAAAGAAAAACCAGAGCATACTTTCTAGGAACATAAGCACACACTTGCCACCAGAAACATACTGCTTTCTAGACAGTCTCTCCTTCTCAACTACAAAAGAAAAAAAAAACCTCAATTGTAAAAGTTAACTTTTAAAATATTAACAAAGGCAGTCTCACAAATATAAGGAAACTGTCAAGCAATGCTTCAGTAGCAGAGGTGCTGATGAAACATCAAAGGAAAATGGAAGCACATTTTTGGAACCCTAACTTCCTGACAGGTTCTTGCACAGAGCAAGTACATTTAGGTATTTCTTCAGCCTACTCAAAATCACCTAACCCCACAATTCATTCTCTTGAAAATGCTAGCACTTCTCCTTTGTGAAGGACTCCAGCTTCAAATAAAAAGATCCAGTGGATCACTGAATCAGAGATGGAAGCTTTGATAGAGTAATTGAAGTATCAACAAATACATCATTTACACTGCATATAAAGGAACTGAGGCTTAAAATGCTTGACTTCCARAATTTATGGATTTAAAGGACTCAAAGATTTTTTTTCATTTTCATGAGCCTCAACTGCAGAAGTGTTTAATTGTCATAAAATCTTCTGATCATAACAAAACCAAGTTAAAGCCAGGCATCCAATTAGCTGATTTGCAAGATCTCCCTTCAAGGCCAAATTGAAAAACTATTTATATAATTACTAAGAAACTGCAACAGTAGTGAACTAGAAACTAAGAGCATGATATGATGGTAGTGATAGATTTTCTTTTCTTTGCAGAAGCTCACATGTATGGTTGCATTACCATGCRTTTTGGTAAACAAGGAAAAAAGAGAGTCAAACTGTTTTCTTTCCACAGATGAGACATTCATAAAACATTTTGAAAYCACTTACAAGTTCAGTTCAAGCTTTCATTCACTCCACAGATACAAACTAAGTAAAGTAACAGTATGTTCCTTCCTCCCAAYAGAAAATACCATCTTCCTTGCTGATCTTTACATTACACATACATTATTTCCTTTCCACTAAAATTACCTGAATCATTATTAGAYATAACATTCTTGGAGGTTGGCAGCCAGGCACAATGTAACACTCCTGCATGGAAGCTCAGTKTGATACCAGCACCTTCACTGCTCTGCCTATACTTTTACTTTCCACATTTTTTTTAACGCTGCAAGAGGAAAGCAGCAAGGAGTGCTAATTGTGAAATGGATTTGTGCTACAGACAGATGGTCACTGGCATGACACTGATGTCATACTTTCCACTAACAGAGTTGAAGGCCAATTCTCCAGAAATCAAACACTAACACACTGTAACAACTRCCATGGTTGGGAATGATGTGGAGTAAACATTACTTTCATTATCATGGATTGTCTTCACTGACCATTTTGAAGGGTATGAAAGTAACCTTACAGTCAATGCTGAACACCAATAGCTGGTTATGATTGACTTTCAGAAACTCCACAACTCCCATGAGCCTCACGTGATTGTTTACCTGCTAAGTCAATAAACACTGCAAATATTTTTACAGCTTTCAGACATGTTTACTTATGTATTTCCAAACACGTTTTTAATAAATTTGTTGTGTCATATTTAGCAATAWCTTGCAGGACCAAGACTGCACATTTGTTACACAGAATTACCTGCTCATGTTCTGAAGAGGTCATCTCCAAGTTTCCTCATTCCAAACAGAATTGYCAGCACCAGTCTGGGGTACACACATACAACGTGTGACCAGTTCAAGAAGCCCTTGTGTTTTGGTGAGCACTAACCATTGCTTTTAACATTGTGTAATTAAGATCTGCTCAGAACAAAACACAGCAATTGGCTACTAAAAGACAGCAGCGACCTTGGTTCTGGTTAAGAGCTCAAAGCTTTCAATGTCAGTTCCAGTTAATGCATGGACGGTAGCAAAATACAACAGCAAAGAAGTTGGGGAAAAAAAAACCCCATAGCTGAAAATTATATCCTACAGCATGTAATTAATAATTTAAAAGTTACCAAACTCACATGAGACTCAAAAAATTCAGAACATCCTCCTGCCTCTTTTTCTTTTGAAATTACACTTTAATTTAGCACATTCTCAGGTGCTTCCCCTTCTACAGACAATTCACGCTGCAGAAACTAAAGATGGTAAGTATAGCTAGTTTGTATAAGCTGCTGCCCTACAACAGCAGCGATTACCTACAAATCATCTGCGAGCACTCCGGTTGCTCCCCGGTGCCTCACCAAAATATTTTGGTTCTGGAAGAGGAGGTCTGTGACAGTGACAGCATACTATGTCATCTGTACACCATACTGCAGTCACAGTAGGACCATCACTCAATACACTTCAAAAGCTGAAACTGCATTTACTACTTGAGCAAGCAKGTCTTTCTTTCAAACGCAAATGGAAAGAGATGGAAGGCATGTTATTCACAGCACAGGGGTCTCTTCCCACCAAGAGGAAGGACACCTTTCAGACCCTACAGAAATACACCTCAATATCTCAGCTCATCAGAGCGCGGTGAGAGTGGGACTCCCAGGGTCTGTCAGAGCCGCTGTTCAGCCTCTCCCCAAGCCCCCAGGCGCAGCCGGGGGCGGCGCGGGGCCTGTCCCGTGTGTCCCCGGTGCCGCCCGGTGCCGCCCGTCGCTCCGGTCCCGCAGCGCGGGTGCGGCGGTGGATGGAGCGCGGTTCCCCTCAGGCGCGG